TACTTGTGTATTCCATATTTAACACAAATCAGACTTTGCTTTTGATTATTGATTCAGTTGAATATATAATTTATAATAAAATATATAATTAAACAAATTATAAAAAAATGGCAAAAAAGACCCTTAATTTAATATTTTGTGGCACCACCTTTTGCAGCAATCACTGCCAAAAAGCGATCTCTGTACTTCACAATGAGACGTCTGCATTTGCCAACAGGTGGTTTGACCCACTCTTCCTGAAAAAACTGCTCAAGCTGTCTCAGGTTTGAAGGGTGGAGTCTCCACACTGCATTTTCAGATCTTTCCATAGATATTCAATAGGATTAAGATCTGGGCTCATGGAGGGCCATTTAAGAATAGTCCAATGTGTTTTTTTCTCAGCTATTCTTGAGTGCTTGAGTATGTTTTGGGTCATTATCCTGTTGGAGGTCCCATGACCTATGACTGAGGCTGAGCTTTCTGACACTGGGCAGTATGTTTCACTCCAGGATGCCTTGGTAGTCTTGAGACTTCACTGTGTCCTGCACAGATTCAAGGTTCCCCGTATTAGATGCAGCAAAGCAGCCTCAAAACAAATCCGAGCCCCTCCATGTCTCACAGTAGGTATGGTGTTCTTTTCTTTTAAAGCTTCACTTTTCCTTCTGTAAACATAGAGCTGATGTGACTGGCCACAAAGCTCCAGTTTTGTCTCATCAGTCCAAAGGACATTCTCCCAGAAACCTTGGGGTTTGTCAACATGCATTTTGGTGAATTCCACTTTGGCTTTTTTATGTTTCTCTGTCAATAGTGGAGCCCTCCAGGATCTTCTCCCATGGAGCCCATTATTGTTCAAAATGCAGATGGTGCAATCAGAAAGTGACGTATCTTGACCCTGGAGCTCAGCTTGAATGGTTTTGGATGGTTTCCATGGTTCTTTTTCTACCATCCGCACTGTCCTTCTGATCACCCTGGGGCTGCATTTCCTCTTGCGTCCACATCCTGGGAGGTTTTGAAAGGGTGTAACATAGGACTACAAGAATGATTCCTGGTTATAGAGGAATATCTTATGAGGAGAGGTTAGCTGAGCTGAATCTGTTCAGCCTCGAGCAAAGGAGAATAAGGGGGGACATGATCCAGGTCTATAAGATTCTAACAGGTCTGGATGCTGTTCAGCCAAATGGCTATTTCAATATTAGTTTAAATACTAGAACTTGTAGCCATAGGTGGAAATTAGTGGGAGAACATTTTAAACTGGATTTGAGAAAGCACTTCTTTACACAGCATGTAGTTAGAGTATGGAATAGTCTTCCTTTTCAAGTAGTGCAGGCTAGAACCCTGGGTTCCTTTAAATCAGAGCTAGATAAGATTTTAACAACTCTGAGCTATTAGTTAAGTTAACCTTATACTTTTTTTTTTTTTACTAAGATTAGCAACTGTGGTCACAGGAACATGACGCTGCTTGGAGATGGTCTTATAGCCTTTCCCTTTAACATGGTTATCTATAATCTCCTTTCTGAGCTCCTCAGACAGCTCTCTCCAGCTTTCTCTGGTCCATGTTCAGTGTGGTGCAGACAATGATACCAAACAACACAGTAGCATGTTCTTCCCCTTTAAATAGGCTGAATGGCTGACGAAAAGCCAGAAGGCACCTGTGATACTAATTAAGGTTAAACATTTACTTTGAAGCATGACTATAATGCACGGATAAATAGTCTCTTTAGGGGCACCAACAAATCTGTCCACACTATTTTAGCATATCTTTGTAAAATAAACAACAAATGATTTCTTTTCACAATTTTATTGGTTTACTCTATCACATACTAAAGGCATGCAGGTATACATTAGAGAATTGCTTTTAACTGAATCATTTTTCAGGAGAAATTAAATGTTGTTTCAATGAGCTGTAAGGGTACCAACAAATTTGTCCACATCTGTGCATTTCTAGCCAAATTCTCATTCCTGCTTTACTGCCTTAGTTAATTATACACCTATGTTTTATTAATCAACAAATACTACTAGGTACCTTTTGAACATCCATCGAGTTTCTGACCACAGGCTGCCTCAGTCTGTCCCAGTTTCCCTGCTTATACTGGCAGAATTGTGTTACTTCCGGCATTATGGGTTGAGTGGGATAGTTGGTGCTCTTCTCCAAGGAGCAGTGCTTGTTCTAGCCAAACCAACACCATATTTCTGAACTGTCGAGCTCAACTTTCTCTGGCTCAAGGGTATGACATTTCCGATTGTGGTGACGAGACAAAAATATAGGCAGTGTGTCCTGTCCAGAAAGCCAACCAAAGCGACTCCCTGCACTGAAGCAGCCTGGGATGTATGGGTAAGGTACTCAGTAAGCATTAATGTGAAAGCTCCTGTGGACAGAGGGGGAAGCGAGGTAAGGAAAGACAAACATTAAGCTACTGTATGAAGTTGAGACCCCTTGAACTATCCATTCACATAGTCAAGATATTTTGAACCAGCTAATCCAGCAATCCTGGCCTTCAGAACTATCCAATCAGAAGATTTTCCTGTGCAAAGATCATGATGCTGGGTGAATCTCAATATGTGTACTTGACCGTACTTGTGTTCTCGTGTCCCATTTTACGTCATCTTCCATTGCCAAAGACCAGTTCCAATACTAAGAACGGAAGTACAGAGGACAGTAAAAATCCCCAGATGTTGGCCTTGCTCCGCCCCAAATATCAAGGGCACATCAGTTGCATCCGGAACAAGACCAATTGCATGATTCATTACACCCCAAGTTCATTCATAGATGGCAAGTTTGCAAGATCGGTCTTGCCAAGACCACAAGTATGGTCTTTGTGTTCTTGATATTGAGATTCACCAGCTGTTTCACTTAAGAAATGGCATCCATGCCTTCTGGACCCCCCTCCCCAATATGTGTATCCTGCAGAAACCCACCTTCAGCACGTGATGCGACTTGCCCAAAACCTTTGGTTGCTCTAGCATAGGAATGTAACATTAGATTGAGCATGCCATACAAGTGAGCCATAATGCTATTGTTACAAACCTGTGAGCTCCTTGAATTTGTGCTCCCACGTTTGTATCTGTGTTCAGGGGAGGGAGGGGGGTTTCCACTGAGGTCGAGTTTCTTACGTGGGTATACACTGTAGGATCACAACACCCATGATCAGATGATGTTTTCTCCATTGCCATTTTGGAATATTCTTCAGTTTTGATAAGCTAAACTTACCTTAAGAGAGAAACTTAAGCATGTGGCTCTGCCTGATCCCACAGTGTAACAGGACAGGTTGCAGGACCTAAAGCCTGCATGATATTTTAGCATTTGTGTCTTCAATTTAACAACTCCCCTTGAAGTGAGCATGGACAAAGTGACAGTGTTTATATTTTTTTAAATATTGCAATCATGTCAAAGTGGTGTTAAAAAAAGTGGCTGGATATGCATGAATGAGGAGATTGTGGTCAATGGAAGGTGTCTGTAAACTGTCGAGCAGCGTGTGACTCTATGCGAGAGTGTGTCCTGTAATGGACCGCTTGTTTTTGTGGGACTTTTTACACAAGTTCCACAGATGGCTTCCTGCCAGGACCTCTGGAAATGCACTGATTCCATGCGGGTGAATTACCCGTCTGGATTGCTCACAGCTTCATTATTGTTCTACTAAGCAGCTCAGATAACAGACAGGTTTCACCACCTGCCACATCTTGCTTCTGAATAGTCTGTAAAGAAAACCAATGCCCTATTATCATGGCGGCTGTATTTTTGGATTGCACTTGTGATTTGACCTGTGACCCCACTCCCTACAGTAATGAGCAAGCCCTATGAACCTTATCCAGTTAAAAGGTAAACTCAGTCCAGTCCACAGAGGCCTAGAGCAATCTTGAGCCCCTGGACAGTGGGACCCCCGCCCCCATACACCACCTGTTGAGAGGGAGGGGCAGATCTTGGGATAATAAGAATTGTGGTAATTTATTGCGTACTCAGACATGCTACTGACCGTCCCATTCAGGGTTGGAGACCGTTGTCGACAGAGTTTTTTCCTTTTCCCATGTGGCGTCTCCCCTTCCACCACTGATGAATCACAATCAGTAATCACACACCAATCCAGTGTTCCATTTTCTTCTGCTCTTCTCTCTGTATTCTTTATGACTTGCATGTTCTTGGCTTGGCTTGGTCTACCAGGTAAGCATCACTGTGCTCTGCTCTTGTGTCCTTTATAAAGTGCTTCACCTCTCTCACTTGTGCCACTGTCACAGGGACATCATGGCAAAAACTCCTTCCCCGCTGGCAAAATTAGGTATGGGTGACAAGGGCAGTCATCCAGGGTGGTATCTTGCCTGGGGCACCCACACGAAAAAAAATTTGGTTGTGACATTTGCACGATCAGTTTTCTATCGCTCATTTGCACGTCGCATCAACGATATCACCGTCTTGGACAGTTAACCTTGTTAGAGTGGGCTCCCTGAATTTAGTTTGTGAGTTTGGCAGGCAGAAGTATGAGATAGGAAGGGGCGGGGCTAGGACAACCTCAGGTCGACACATGTTTGGGATATTATACAGATTTTATATACACCCCACTGTGCAAAGGCACCCCATTGCTTGGGCACTAGTAGGTGTGAGAACATTCCTTGTAACAGCCCCCATCACAAAAAAAAACACACTTATTACACATAAATACATGCAATGACCTTTTTTTTTTTACCTGAAATGAATGGACCACTGTGGCTTCCTGCCAGTGGATGAAGGGCATTTTCCCCAGCTGGGTGAAGTCTCGCACAGAGACAGGCCCTATTTGTTCACAGCAGAGAAAACAACACACATTTCATACAGATATTGCTATTTACAGTTTTTGGAAAGAGAAAAAAAACACTTTTTTGTAAAAATCTCCTTGAAGCCACCTCACGAAATACAGGTTTATATTCTTTTGAATTTTATGAACTGTTGGGCACCTTTCAGTACCATACAATTGACTGTTTTCTACGCGGACCTTTTTTTTTTTTTTTAAACTACATATCCCACAATGCCAAGTTCCTGGGGGGTGCGTGTAGGCAGGTTGATTCGGCTACGCATCATCAGGGGGAAAGATTCTGTCTTAAGCCGTTTGTAGTTTGAGGAACTTTGGGAGTCGGGAAGTCTCGGCGGACTAAGGGGAGCGCAAACCCGACGGCGGCTCGCATCGTACGTGCCGGGGCGGCATTATTTCGCAAACGGCGAATTATTTAACTTTAATGGTGCCCGCTTATTACATTGGATTGGACCCACATGCTCGTCCGCTAAGACAGACAGGATCACAGCATGGACTGGGAGCAAAGTTACTTTTCAAAGGGACCGAGCCTCTGCTTACATAATGCACACCAGGGTCGGGTTTCCCCTATGTTTTATTAAAAAGTATAAACTTTTCCGTCTGCCATAGGCTTTTGCGTCTGTTCCACAAAAACTGCTTGGCTTGTGATCGGGAGGCGATGGCTGCATTTCGTCAGTGTAAGTCAGTATCGGATGTCTTGTTGCAAGTCGTGATTTCAAGCCCATTTTAAGTGGGTCTGACCAGCCGATCTGCGGCAGCGGTCGAAGGACACATTGCGATCATCTAGAAACATCCCGATCATCTTACGCCTGCTTCTGAATCAGGATATATTACGCCGCAATAACAAGTCTCATCCCGAATACAGTTTCCCCCCATTTTTTTAAAGTTCTACAGCTTCAGTGTTCATTGTTGAAAGGTGAGTATTGAAACATATTTTGATTTTTTTTTTACCCTAATAAAGTATCTCTATGTTACGAATGTGTATTTTAACTTCACTTTTCCTACAAGATAATTTACCCAGACAAAAATCAATTCGTAGATAGCGGTGCGAAAAAAAAACTAAATATGTAAATTATTGAGTTTCCAGACGGATTATGACAGCATCTGACACCGTACGATATGTCTTGCTTTGTATAGTGATAAATCACGAGAAATGTTCATTTAAAAGGCGTGGGGATGAGACATAAACTACAATTACGACTCCCTCTTAGATGAGACCTCAGTGCATCTCACATGGTCTGCGTTTTCTTCTGGATTCAATTCTCGGCAACTGGTTTGGGGGACAAAACACAACTTAAGGTACTATTTTTAAAAAAAATGCTCCTTGAACTGTCCTCAGACCACACACTAAACATTGGACTCCCACTGTAGTTATTCTGCTCCCCCAGTTCAGCATGGGTGGTGCGGCATGACAGTCAGATGAGACTCTTTTGTTGCGATCTATAATATAAAGATTCCACCACGGCATCACATACGTCACTAAAGCGATATTTTGCTGAAAATAAATGTAAATTACGATGTGTCATGTGACCATGGTTAATTACACCCCCTGGCTTATATTCCTATAGTAATTTTCATGCTTGATTTGAGATGGTGGTCTCTTGAAGGCTGTAATAGGAATATGTTACTTGAAAGTCCGCCACCATTTGCAACAGGTGGAAAACTGACGCTGTTGGGCTGAATAAGATATTTGATTACATTTATTTAAGCATGGTCAAGTTTTGTTGGTTCATATTCTGAATGGACATTTGAGCACTAAAAATTCACCGAACCTGCCTAACTGGTAAAAGTCATGGGAATATCTTTGTGTAACTAAAAAAAAAAGTTGCATGTACCTGTATCCTAGTTTGGGGGCTCCGTTAAAAAATGAATATAAAATTTAAGAGCAAGGGTAATGTCCATGACTGCAACTCCCTGTTTTAATGTGCTTCCGCCGCACCACTACAGATTACTGACCTGTCAGTGAACTATGTGCAACCGGAAATGGGATTCATTATGCGACTCAGAAGGATGTTTTACAGCAATAAAACAAGGACAGTATTTCATATGACAAATTTGCAGCTTAAAGTTCATGCACAAGTCCAACAAACACCCAAGTCATGTCAAGGTGCATACCTGCCTTGCAATGTGTGTAATCTAAACATTGGTGTTTTTTTTTGGGGGGGGGAGGGGTGTTCTTTAGGTTTTCCTCACGACGCGTCTACGTGTACAACACAGAGAAGATCCCAGATTTTTACGGTATTCGGTTACCCCAGCGTTAAAATGCCTCTGTCTCAAAGCAAGATATCTTATAACACAATCAGACTTCTGGAAAGAGTATATTACATTTTTTTAGCACGACAACCAGGTTTTGTTATGAAGTCGTAGTGTTAAAAAGGACAAATAAACTAGGTTATGGAAGAATTTTACTTTAAGAATGGCCAAGCTGTAATAAAGAAATGGATTGGCCACAACTCTGTGGGCATATGTTTTCGATTTAGTTGTTGGTTTGTCCGGTCTTCTGAGCTAATTTAATCGCAGAGTGAGACATGAATTCACAAATCAGGATTGTCCAATTTGCGGTGACAGAGGTAGGAAGACCACAGCTAGGATGAAATGTGTAACAGCATTTTATGGTGGAAAAACCAAGGTCATGGATCCTAACAAACTGCAACATTTGTACCTCCTGCTTCTCACTGCAATGTCTGTCTCCTAAAGAGAAAGATAAAAATCAGAATGTTGGAGAAACATTTAATTTGTCTGTTTCTCTGTTAGTTTTTGGAATAGGTCATCTTCCCTTTTTGCAGGGGTGAGTGGTTTCAGCCTCTTTATCCAGCCTTTTCTTTTGCAAATCTTTGCTGAGGTTTCCTGCAGAGCTGGGTGCTGTGTTGGCTTCTCGTCTTCCTTTTGGGGAGGGGGGGACAGCAGAAAGGGGGTCCTCCAAAGTCACCCTTGGCTGGTTTAGTTGGCATGTGTGGAGAATGCTTTGTACCTACACTGTAGTTCTGGTGCATTGCAGCAGTTCATGTACCCCATCATTATTTAGAGTGATTAATCCCCACATAGTAGCTACATCAGTAATGGTCCTCCTGAGATTTGAACCTCTGTAAAAATGCCATAACAAAGACATTTCAGGTAGGGCTGGCTGATTCGTTGGTGTTCTTTATAGGCGTCTCCAGTGACTTTTCTTAAAAATACCAATACCAATTTCCAAAATTTGTCATGGGTACTATCCATTAATCATGGCTGAAATACTTGATAATGATGACCAGACACAGACAGTCCCAACGTTTTCCTAGAAAAAATATGGTCAAAAAATGTCAGGTTAAAATACTTAGCTGTCATTACGTCTGTGCTTGTGGTGGATTTTAACTACTTTACTGTAGGATACAACTGCAATTTCCTTCCTAACAACTCAGAGTTTTGCAGTCTGTGTTATTAACATAATCTCTCTTTTTGAGTAAGACTCTTTAGCAAAGTCAGTTTTCCACATGAGACATTGCAGATATATACTTGCTTTGAACTATACGATTGTGAGTTAAAATCCTGCAACATGGCTCTGGTATTTGATGTTTTGTCCAATTACATAAATCCAAAATGGCCTCTGGTGAAGTTTTATATGAATGAACTTGCTCAAGCCACGACCTGGGTAGTAAACAGCCTGTGTCCCTGCTCTGGTGGAGTCTCTGCTTCTGGGCTGAGAACATTGGGAATGGAGCTCAAGCTGGTCTCTGTGCCTTGAAGGACAAGCATGGGGTTGAGGATTGCTATGCATTACTGGTGCTGTACAGTAATTAGGGGAGTGGCCTTATCTCCCTGGGGTTGGGGGAGGAAGGAGATATATATATCCCCAGCCCCCAACCCCAGACCACTCCCCTAATTACTGTAATTAGTAGTGATATACATAATTTTAGTGTGTGTGTGTGTGTGTGTGTATGTATGTGTATGTGTATATAGCATAACAAAATAAACATTCATTATGGTGCAGCATATTAAAAAATACCTGTGCTGTACTTGTATTCCCATTAACAGCTTCCAGCTTCACATTAGGACGTACGCGTATACATAGTGAGTATTAGTGACACGGCTTCGTCCATCCCTTTCTGAATGTCCCCCGGGAAACACACAAACACACAAAGGTTCCGCATTTGCTGCATTCGTTCGGTACATATGCGTACTGAACCAAAAGACCCGTACTGAAACTTTTCAGTACAAATGCATATTATGTTACCCTCCTAATATACCGTTACACTCCTATATTAATTTCCTGGGCCTGCCTTTAAAATCGATACCTTCACATGATGTGCCTGTGTCAACCAACTATGTTGGAACCATAATGACTCGCCTGCTGTGAGGTTGTGTTGCATGCTGTTAAGTTATTTAATGGGTATAGTTGTATGACCGTGGAAAAAATAGGCCTACTCCTATATGTATGTCTGTTTCATCATTTTACATTTCAGAGGAAGCACAGATTTAGACTTGTAGGTGTTTGTCTCTGTTAGTGGGAAGGCTGTTGGTTAGTTCCGACCCTCTGTGTCCTCAGGTGCTTAGGACAGTAATGTCTCATTTGGTTGTAAGAGGATGCCATTGATTGTGTAGAGTTTTAGTGGCCTTATTGAGAAAGCTAAGGATGTACGTTAATTGTATTCCCTTTACAGGGTTGTCAGGTCCCAAAATTGAAGTAATTCTGCTTAGTGCCAGCAATGGGAAGGAGAAAGCAGACAACATATCACCTTGTGAATGTGATAAGTCAAAAAGCTTTTGATCTTATTGCTGCTTCACCAGAACATTATATGGATGAAGATCTAAAGCTGGTTTAACTTTCAGACAAATTGTCCCAAAATGAAGCAGCAGTTCTGTGTGGCAGCAAAGAAAACAACAGCTGTACAAGATACTTGGTCTTGTGAACACAGTAACTCAAAAATTATTTTGCAGATATTTTTCAAACATTCTAGACACATTTTATTGGTGACAAACTGTAAGTGGTCAAATTTTGATATGGATTGTGCCAAAATTGAAGCAATTAAATTCAATTCTTTTATTGTCATGTATACAAGTATGAGTACCATGTACAATGAAATGCTTGCTTGCATGTGCTCCTGCAGACAGAGAACATAGACAACAAGAAGGCTAGACAACAGGACAAGTGAATGTAATGATGAAGTGAATTATAAATAAATAAATAAGTAAATAGTAAATAAGTAAATAAAAGTAGTTTTAATGATCTTGTTTGCATTTCAGAGTGTTCCTGACATTGTTTTTGTAATGACACCACACTGTAGTTAAGCTGCCCCCTACATCCTGTGTATACCTGCCAACAGTCTCCATTCTCCTTGGCTTTTCTCATTTTCCACCCCGTCTCCCGCTGTCCCTCTGATTTACCGTTTCTCCTAATAAAATCCAGATTTTCCACATCCACACTTTTATGACTGTCAGGATCGAGTCCCCCCCCCCCCCCATTTTTGCGAAGTCTCCCCATTCTTCATAACATAATGAGGCTGCTTCGTTTTGTGATTCTGAGCATGTGGATCACTGATGCACAGACTCCCGGCGCAGACTGCTGTTGGCGGGAATCAAATATGTATAGAAATTTACAAGAACTGGCTCTCGGAGTTTGGACAGGCTGGACTTACTATCTGCTGCTAAATCAAACAGGGGGAGTGATGGTAGGTGATGGGACAAAATGGGACGTGAGAAAGGATCTGACATTTCATTCAAGAAGGCAATGTTCCATGGAACTGCCTCTTATAAAAGCAAAATGAAGAATATCGACGACAAAAGCTCATTGCATGTATGATAAAAGATGATCTGTCTGTGCTGAGCTGCTGGGGCACAAAAACAGCACCTCACCTGTCTGTCTGACAGCTCGCTTCAACATTAACCCCCCTTTGCTGAAAAAACAGCAGATAAAATATCTTAATTCCTAAGTGACCTGCTGGCAGCAGACTAACAAGAATCACCCGGCGCAGGGCTCAGGCACAGCCCATCCTTTTATGGCATAATTGCATTAATTGGGCATCATTAAGGCAGCTTGTTTGTCGAGGGTGGATAATTCTGGTCCAGAAAGTAGAAATCCAGACCTGGATTTTGTTTCAACCAGTTGAGTATTCTGTGACTCTTTATACTCAACTGGCTGGTTGAAACAAAATCTTGGTCTGGATTTTTCCATTCTGGACCTGAATTATCTGCCTCTCATTTTCTCCTTGCTTGGTGGACTAGAGGGCAGCTGCTATAAGGCAGGCAGTCGGCGTTTCCTCTTGCCGGCGTGACTGGCTCTGTGGTGACCATGCATTGCTCCTGACAGAGCAATTGGTGTGTTTCATCATTTAGGACTGATTTTGCTGGTGAATCCATTGATGTGTTTTGATCCACTGCTCCAGATGGGGACAGCTGTAGGTTTTTGTGAACAAAAGAAAACACCTAGTTTGTTTCACCTTAGGGGGGTGGGGGGCACGCCCAAGTGGGCTTTATGACCATATGGCCTAAGAGATGAGCCTTTATGACCACTTATTTTGTGTATACATGGGGGCTGTTGATTGGTTGTGCTGTATTTGACAGTGGACTGCGGTGGGGGGGGGGGGGGGGAGACATGGCTATTGATGAACCTGAATGCCGCTGTATCCTGAAATTTGACAGCTTGATACATCTATTCTTTTTCTCTTCCGCCCCCCAGTAAGTGAGGTGGAGGAGTTGGATGGCTCAGTGCTGATGTGCTGCCTGTCTGGGCATCAGACTCCCCCCCCGCAGCAGTAGCGCCCCCTGCAGGATGTCAGTGCCGTGGAGTTTGCTGTACCTGTGGGCTGTGATGGCTCACATGTCCCAGGCCAGACCAGGCCTCACCGACCACGGTAACCCCCCCCCCCCCCCGCCCATTCCATTTCACTGTCTAGCTTTAGTTTATGAAAATTACAATATTTCTGGACTAAATTTACATTTAAACTAAATCTACATTTAAACTAAATCAACTGTGCATGCAGTCAGTGAAAGTAAAAGGGTTGGTCATAATCTAATTCATCATTTTCACATTTCTTTGAAAAATTCACTTTACTTTATGTGCAGATTCAAACACAGGTTGGTGTCTAGATCTCTGAATGAAACACCTGTAAATCTGTTATTATGGCATGACATTAGGTTTGAAATTGCAGTGTTAAAGGACACTGACTTAACTGCTGTCTTAACATTGCGCGAATTCAAAATGTATGAACTTTAATTGTCATTTTATTTATCATTAAATAAAACCAAAACTTAATGTAATACAAAATCTTCATGCATAAGAAAACACTCCATGCACATAGAACTTGAATTAAAAAACCGTAATGTCCTCTCTCAGAACATAAACAAGTGGAAACCAACTGGATTGTGCTTATTTCTACATGTAGTTCAATTCATGACAGTGAACTTTTCAAACACATTTAAAGAAAAGGCAGCTATTTGTTTCTGGTTATTTCATGGTGGTTCAAGTTTGTGGTGTTTTTCCTCACTATCGCTGCTCTGCATGGCTTCCACTGAGTTTCGTTTTCATTCACATCAAATGAGAAATTTATGAAATAATTTATATCGGTACATTTTTTTGCTGCATAAAGCCGACTGGCACAGACTGGGCTTGGGTGGTATTTAATTCTTCATACCACCGTACAGTCCAGAGATTGCATAGCATTATATGATATTCTGGTGGAATTTTCAAAAGCAACACTATTCTAGTATTTTTAAGTCTTGCTGATAAATTTTTCTGAGCTAGGAGGGGGTCCCCATGATGATGCATTTCTTATGTGCCTGAAGACGGTTAAATCAACATTATCCAATCGTGTACAATTACAATCAATACTAACTGAAGATACTACTTACGAATGGATCAGCTTCAAACTCATCTCTCCTTTTCATCCATTAAAAATCTTCCAAGCTGTATAATTTTTGTCGTAGTTTTCATCACCAAAATTTACCCCAGTATCAACTCTCCACACGCTGTTTTTAGATTCTCTTGATGACTTGGTTGCCTCTTGTTTTCAGGGATGAAAAGAAATCTACTTTTTGATGGATTTCTGCTTTTTTGTTTTCTTTTTAGGTCGTTTATGAGGTTTAACTAAATTTAAGGTAAAAATTTTGGATTATTGGAAATTTTGGAGGTGGATTCTTTTTTAAAACTAAAATAAAGATACGTAAGAATCACGTCTGTGTTATTCCCAGCATTAAATACCAGTAGTACATAATTAAGATATATTGCTTTAATTTGTTCTATTCATTAACTGAGTATGATAAGAAACACTAGTGATTATAATAACATAAATTTCAAGTGGCTCTAATGTATGTAGCAATGTATGTAGAAACCTTTTTTGAAATAGTGTCTATAAATTTTGACAGACACCCCTCTTCCCCCCCCACTCGACATAAAAACACTGGTGCTGGTTTTCATTTTCTTTTCTTCGTGGGACACTTTCATCTCTGTGAATTGTGATCGCGGGACTAGGTGATTGGTGAGTTGGGGTTTAGTGATCTTAGCAGAGGTAGCATTCATACAACAAGAAGCCTAAACAATGCTGTGCTTTTGGTCAGTCTGGGCTGTGGAACATTGTCCTATTTACTAAAAGCCTTTAACACTTGAGGGGTGTGTAGTGTCCTGTTTTTAAAACAATAGGGTGTCGTTGAGTGATGTAAAATGTTCCACCATATACAGTATATACTGATACAACTATGAATGGCATTTTTGACATTGCATATTTGCTAAAGATACTTTGTCCTTGGTTGTAATGGAAATACACTCTCTCAAGGAGCGCAGAGAGAATGTCCGTGAAACCGAATCCTGAAAAATGTACCTGGTGGGTATTTCCTAGTCTGATGACAGCCACCATAGGTATCCAGTGGTGGCTTGATGGTTAGGGTAGCGCACTTGTAATTGAAAGATTGCAGGTTCGAATCCCCCACCAGCAAGTCACCACTGAGGTACCCTGAGCAAGGTACCGTCCCCAAGCACTGCTCCCCGGGCGCTGAATTAGCTGCCCCCTGCTATGTCACGAAAGTCACATATGGGTCAAATGCAGAGGTCACATTTCGTTGTTGCACACTGTGTGCTGTGGTGTGTTGACAATGACCACTGATCACTTAATTCTCAGGGTTCTTCAACTCTGAACCTCGATTCCAAATCCAGGCCGTGTTTTCAGTTCTCCCAGGTAGTTGTTTAATAATTACTGATTCTGATTGGTCAGAGGCTTCACACCTGACTGACAGGTAAAGGAAGGCTGGAAAACCAGCAGGGCTCGGACCTCGAGGACCGTGAGTTGAACAACCCTGCTCTATGTTCTACAAAGTTGCAGGTATTGGTCTTGTGGTCCTGCTTGACCCAGAATTCCTATAGGCCCAATGAATAAAATACAGCTCTGTAGTTGGTGTTAAAATCAGTGGGTGAGGTTTGGGGCGGTGAGAGGACCAGGCCTGTCCGTACCCTAGGGCTATATGTGCCCCTTCTGCCCCTCCATTGTCAGGAAAAAGGTGTATTGTGTCACCAAGGGATGAATTTAACTGTCAGGGAAGCTATGACTTATCTGCTCTTGAAAGGCGAGGAGAAAAGAGAAGGCCGTCCCTTGAGGGTGCTACCGGGCTACTATCAGATTCCTGTGAAGAAACTGGTCACCCCCACCAATGGGAAGTGACTCCAGCCGCAAGCAGCAGCTACGGTCCCCACCCGGCCTCGTCAGCGAGGTTGTGAATGCACCAGCAGCTTGTTGGTGTAACAGAAAAGTTCAGAATTTCATTTAAATGTTTTTTTTTTTGATGGAGCTGTGTTTAACATCTGGATGTGAGGTTTTGTGTAATCTAGGCTTTGAAATCTTTCAAATACCCTGCTGTACATTCATCCGCAGCCCACAAAGGAGAATAAGGCTCTCTGCCTTTCTGAATTCATTTCAGATGTCTTGACATATATACACGTGGTATTGCCTAAGAATTAAAAATGCAAAAGTTTTAAAACACCAAACAAAAAGTTAAACCTTGTGTTCCTATACTTGATGTTGGCTGTTTTAGTTTTCCTGTGACCCTATTTGCTCTCACCATGTTCTAATGTTTATAAGTAATAGGCGATGACACTCTGTCTTCTTACTCTCTCTTTCCCACCTGCCCTCTCTGTGGTCTGTGCATGTTCTCCCAGTTCCCCCCCCCCCCAGGGATGTCCCACCCCCCCCCCCCCCCCCCCCCCCCCCCCCGACCCCACGTATAATCCCCATGCCCCACAGGGAGAGGAGGAGCAGTTAGAGCATTGATGGGTGATTTGGGTGGTCTCTGTTAGTGGGCTTTGGGGGGGGGGGAGTAGATTAGAAATCCCAGTGGCTTGTCAGTCAACCCATTGTTTCTAGCAGAGAAATGAAGCACTAAAGAGTTTCTTCAAGCATTTGCCAGCCAAACTTCCACATGTATTGTGGGCATGTATGTGGTGTATGTGTAGTGGGCGTGTATGTGTAGTGGGCGTGTATGTGTAGTGGGCGTGTATGTGTAGTGGGAGGGTATGTGTAGTGGGCGTGTATGTGTAGTGGGCGTGTATGTGTAGTGGGCGGGTATGTGTAGTGGGCGTGTCTGGGCAAACGTCCAAGGTTGAATCCCAGTGTAGCCCTGCCAGGAGGGTTCTGTGTATCTATAGTTTGAGCCACGAAAGGAAAATGTTGGTGTATTTTTTCATTTCTATGAGCAAAAATGTCAATGTCTCAGGCCTATTTAATGCATGTGTCAGGTTGCACTAAACATCATTCTGAATTTAGGCATTTCTGCAAAGTAAAATGTCTGAAGTGCACTTCAGCATGAAGAAAGGGTATCAGCTGACAATCTGCCAGCTTGGGAGGTGGGTTGACGGCACAGTTCAGTGGAAGATGGACCATAGTTAGAATAGATAAGCTTGAATGAAACTTACAGATTTTACTTTTTTGCATGGATGTCTATTAGAACTCTTTGAGCTGCAGGAATATGTTTGTAAATGGACTGGTTTGTTAGTCTGCTCTGGTGTGCTGCCTTGCCAACCTGCCCTGATTCCTGTTTCCAGAAAAAATATTTGTATATGAATACAGCCGACTGAATTCAGTTAGAATTCTCCATCTTGTCTTTTAAAGAAAATCCACTGTTTGTGAAAATAAAATAAAACGATATCCTTTTCCTCTTGGATTCGGGTTCTGCTGAATATTGCTGAATTCCAGGGGGTTCCATAAACATCAACACTAAGGCTGGCTGATGTGTGATATTAATATTGAGATTGCCATGCAATTGTCACATCACAAGGACTGATAGTCAGCTGGGCTGTGATTAGGCTTGGTGGCACGCAATTTTATTCTGTAATTTTGTTGATAAAATATGCCAAGTCGGGGTGGGGTCCCAATTTGATTTGCCAAAAGGAGATCATCAATAAGCTTCCAAAAACATTTTTACTCTGTCATAGGAAACAAAGCTTAGCAAGCTTTGCAATTTAAATGATTTTCCTCTATCTGTTAAAAATTCAGCTCTGTATAACACTCTCCAAGCCAATCATAACCGTTCTCGTCCTTGCTGTAGGACTCACTCATGCACATTGTGGTGCATTTTTTAGATATTTAATAAAAATGAGTGAGGAGGGGAAAAGTGAAGAAGGACTGCTCATGAAAAATATCAGCCTTCCGTTAAATGGAGATATTCTGGAATATTAAGTAATAATATTCTCTGAAGGTATTATTAATTTTAATTGGATCAGTTGAAAGTTCTCCTGGTAGGTCACAAATATGTGGTATGAGCTGAGATGCAGTTTTGGATTTGAGATGTTGTGCTAAAAGTTGCCCGGACTTGTCTCTGTGCTCGTAAACATATCCATTGGCTCGTAGCAAATATTGTTCTGTTTTGTTCGCTGATATCAGATTATACTGTGATTGGGGATTTAACCTTTCTTTGTCTAGCTCTGGTGTGAGAGATTTTTGTTTTTGTTTTTAAAATTTATTGAAATGCCATATACAATATAATTACCCTCCTGAGAATAAACTTAAGCCTATCCCACAATGTAGATGAGGAAAGTGAATTTGATGTATTATTTTGTTATTGGTTTATGTCAGTCCCAAGGGTCTGGCGACTGTGGTGAAATAGAGTTCCCTTTGCAAAAGGTCAGGATCTATGAGTTGCTAGACCCTGGGTCCAGCTCCCTGAGCTGCATCGTTGTACTTGGCACTCCAGTAATGGTGGCGCAGTGAAGGAGATCGATCTCATCCTCATGGGCAGATGCTGGAGGCTTCTACAGAACTGCGGGGTCTACAGAAGTGCCCAGTTTGTGAATTCTGCCCACAGACTTATAGTTGCTCTTCTGAAGATTCGGCTTAGGTCCAGTGGGCTACTACCTACTAGGAGAATGAGGCTGGACCTGACCAGAGTCCAAGATCATGCTGTTTCTAATGAGTTTGCACACAGTTTTTGTGCTGATGCTAATGTGATTGGGGAGACCTTCTGCAATAAAACCCTGAAGGTTGCTGAGGGTTGTGTTGGTCTTGCTGGTGTTTCTAGTTGGAGGTGTTTCATCTCGCAGGGCACCCTGGATATTATTGAGAGGAATTGCAGTGCATGGCTTGATGGCAACTCCGTTCTGTACGAGGAACTGTGAAGGACGTCTGCGAGGCCTCTGAGGGTAGATAAGGTGTTTGTTAGAGGAATTTCTGAGCAATTGACACCATCTGTGGTCTAGTGACACACATCCTATTTAGAGAAGAATCGAAGCATCATGCACATCTGAATCCATTCTTTGGGGAGTTGCAGTTAGGGCAGGTGATGTAATGATTCATATGAAGTTGTGACCCACTGGACTGGCTACTTTGAAGTAATCTGATCGTCTGGCTAGAATGTTGGACATCTCTGGATCCATGGTTCTTGAGGCTGATCCTCTGAGTAGCTGTAACCCACCCAATATCATTGATATTGCACAGGTGGTGAAGCAGCTGGGGGTTAGGGAATGTCACAGTAATCTGTGGTATCTGGGGTGAACTTCTCCAGGCTGATGGTAAGGCCATCCTGGCATTGCAGACAATCTTTGCTTCCATTTGGGAGACTGGCATCAACCCAGCGGACTAGAAAATGGGACTGCTTGTCCCTATCTGGAAAGAGAATGGTAATTGCCTGGATTTTGGCAACTACAGGGAGATAACACTGCTCTCAGTGCCAGGTGAAGTCCTTGCTAGGGTCATCCTCAGCAGGATCTGTGCTGCCTATCAGCAACCGGAGCGGTCTGGTTTTATGCCAATGTAGTCTGCTATTGACTGCGTCTTGGCACTGAGGGTTCTCATCGAGTGCAAACGTGAATATTGGCAGGGTTTCTTTGCAGCCTGTGTCGATTTTGGTAAAGTGCTTGACTCAGTCGACTGAGCTTCCTTGTGGGACATCCTGAGACTTCGAAGAATCCCTCTGAAGTTGCTGGATGTCATGGCCGGCTTGTACACTGTAAGTGCTGTACAGAGTGGAGGCAGAACCTCTGCACTCCTCCCAGTGGATTCTGGGGTTCGTCAGGAGTGTGTTAAGTGTTCTACTCTGTTAAGTGTTTGCATGGACTGGGTGTTTGGGAGGGTCATAGGGTCCAGTGGCTGTTGGGCATCTGTTGGTGAGGAAAGATTTACTGATCTCAATTGTGGACAATGCTGTGATGTTGTGAGGTTAATGCTCTGATCAGGGTTCTTTGTAAGAGGATGAAGGTCTAAGACTTTAGAATCCTGTTGCTCCCTGCCTTGCTGTTTGACTGTGAGACATGCATGCATGCATGGATGTTATCCAGTGACCTGAGATGAAGACTGGACTCTTTTGGTTCTGTTTTTCTTTGGAGAATCCTTGGGTACCGCTCGTTTCATTTTGAATCCTGAATGAAGCACATTACCTGCATCGTGACGGAGTGTCAGTTACGGTACTATGGCCTCGTAGCTGAGGATCCAAGCAGCAGGATCAGGCCAGGGGGATGCCCATGTGGCTGCAGTAAATAGATGGGCACTTCCAGAGGATGGGACTGGACCATATGCCAGCCTGGGGGGGGGGGGGGGTTAGGGTTAGGGGATGTTGACAAATCGCATGTTAGCCCCGTGTGCTGTATCCTCCTGTTTATTCTATAGTGCCGTAGGTGAGACTTGCTTGTGCTTATTAGTGGAATAATATTATGTTGTTTTTTTTATATTCTGTGGGAAACAAAAGATAGATCTACTGGCCAGATTATAAATTATAATGAAGTATAAACATGTCGCAGGTTGTATAATTAAAATGTAAATAAAAGGCTGTGTTCCATTTTGATCACTATTGATCCCCCAATAACTAACAAATATGTAACATAAAGGTCACAGTTTCTGCTGTGTGGTGGGAATGTGATACGTGGAAGCCAGGAACTACAAATGTTCCTGGTTGTGAGAGATGTGGGGGGACCAAGTGCCTCCACAATGTGATATATACCTGTTATGTTGACCTTGTGGGGACATCTTTTCACACCTAGAATATCTAGAAAACACACCTTGTCTAATTCTTGGAATTTTGCCCATGGGACAAAAAAAAATAGTAAGGAGATATACCATTAGTGTATCTTATAATTCCTACATGGACAGTGTTAGTCATAATTCAAGAAATGGTACACGTTGGTTATTGTGTGAGGAGTATAGATTACATGGGTAGAGTAGGTGACGAGGCTGTCCAGCTGAATCAATGCTGTTCCGATAGCCTGTAACGTATTCAGCACTATCGGGTGAAATCTGAGGTATATTCAACCACCTATAAAGCATGATGTCTACAAAGCAGTGCTGCCCTTTTCTTAAAGAAATTCATGGTCCGCATATGTGGATGTTAATACTTCCAACTGCGTAAAACATGTAACTCTACTCAATTATTGGTGTCTGTTTCCATGGAGAATCAGTAATTTAGGCTTATTTTTCTGCAAGACCAGGTTTACATTAACATAGTCAGACTTGATTATACTCAAATTGTAATCTACATCTCTGGAACCGGAATAATTATGGTTATGTTCTTTGAGACTTGTTAAAGTCGGAATTAAGGTTTAAATCCAAACTTGCGTTCTGCAATATGCTCAGATTATAAAACCAAAGGCTTGCAAATGACAGCCTTGTGTCAAGCCCAAGATCTTGCTATAGTTGATGAAAAACAGCAGTATATCAAACATTTTTATTATTAGAAAAAGTTTTTGTTGTTCAGCTTAATCAGCTTTCTATCAGTTTTTATTGTCCGTGTGGTGCGGGGGTGAACACCCGCCACCCTGATACATACACTTTCACAACACTGGTGCATTGCCATTACCACACAGCACACTTGGGCAGTAGTTTTACTTGCCTGGCTCTGGTGAGCTGACTAAGCTGCTGTATTAGCTACATGATCTCTGCAGTGCTTACGTAGTTGACAGCCTTTTTCCGCTAAGAGTCTTTCCTGTGTTTGGGGCTGTATTGAGGGATGTGGTCTACATCGCTTTGCTGCTTTTCTGCTCTGCCTGGAAAAAACAGGTTGTGCAGACTTAAGGGGAAAGATCCTTTTTTCACTGCTCTCAGGATAGTTGCTTAGTTGTTGCTTTTAATAAATGCTCCACTCTTTTGTCTCAGAAAATATATGGGTTGTGAAGTGGTGGGCAAAAGGTTTTTGCCCCCCTCCTGTAATCCAGACAGAAAATAGCCATGTGATGGACGCAGATATAAAGTAATTCCATTATCTTCCTGACTACTGGCTTGGAGGACGATGAGCTCAGGTGTTTTGACCAAGCAATTGTTATTCCTTCCCTTCAAAAATAATGAAATTTAGCATTTCCTAATTTGCCGCGTCATACATGAACCCTTTACTCATTCATTTGGGAGGGTTTATTTAACCCAGAAGGTGACAGTTGAGACAGAGGCCACAGTAGTCTGCTTTTTTTTGTACTCAGAACAATAGTCTGGGATATAATTGAAACTGTTTCAGTAAGAGAGGTGACCTCATTGATGTCACTGCTACTGTACCTTTTCCTGTTAACCCTTTCAACATCTGAGTCAGTGTCTTCTGTTAATATAGTGACCCTTACACTTGGGTCCAATATAAAGGGTATAAAGCTGGATGCGGATGTTGGTGTTTCAATATCACATTCGCTTGCAGGTAGCTGTGTATGTAAGCTCCTGTCTTTGATTTCCTGTTGATTGGATTTAGTGTTTTTTTTCTCTTCAAAATCGTGTCCCTAGGTGATATCAGTAGGAAAATCTTCAAATCTTTTTTTCATAATTTATGTGATGTTTTTTGGACCATTTTTTATAATCTTTGCAGTTAGCTTTTTGTTCCTGCTTGTCTAGTAGTGGTATTGGGTGTTCCTTTGTGTTCCGGCTGGTCTAGTAGTGGTATTGGGTGTTCCTTTGTGTTCCTGCTTGTCTAGTAGTGGTATTGGGTGTTCCTTTGTGTTCCGGCTGGTCTAGTGGTGGTCTTATGTGTTCCTTTGTGTTCCGGCTGGTCTAGTTGTAGTCTTTGATGTCCCCTTATAATTGCAGTTGTTGTCTGTGTCGGTGGAGTTTTTGTCTGTTTTGTGTGGTCCTGTCTACGTAAAATGGAAAGTCCTCATTTTGGCCCCAGATGCGTACTTTTTTGTATTTGTTGTGCACCCTCAGTCCCCCATGAGCTGCCCCCCGATGCGGAGCAGTACACTTTGTACCCTGGGGATCATTTAGTACTGCGCTGCCCTGCTGTGGAGGAGGAGGAGGGGGAGGGGGCAGTGGCTGTGATGACGTCAGCAGTCGGCTGGACAAAGGACCAGGTGGCCATTCGTGATGGGGATCACACTCGCTTGCGGAATGGCCGGCTGGAGATCGAGGGGGTGGAGCCAGCTGACTCTGGGATGTACGGCTGCCTTGCCATAGGGCCTTGGGGAAATGGCAGTGCCCTGTTTGCTGTCAACGTCTCAGGTACGTCTGTAGGTGTCCATTTGATTTATTCCAGGTCAATGGATGTGAGGCTGGTGGTTGGTTTATTGTAACTCTTTTACTTAACTGTGGTTATTGACCTGGCCACTTTCTCCATAGATCATTTTCCTTGAAGTGGTTCGAAAAAACATCTGCTTATACAACTGAACAAGGGCCCTTGTTGTCTAACAGGTTTAGACAACTGATTTCAGAGTGGAAAGTCTGGTTATTGGGTATACGTGTACCTGTTTGTCAGCAACTCCCTTCAAGCTGCAACTCGATATTACCTCGCATGGTTGCTCCAGTGGCTTCCATATGGACAAAGCCTATTGGGTGGAGGCTAGAACTTCATCACACCCTGTGTCTGAGCACAGGACCAGCCCTTGTTCTGTATCTGCTTCTCTGGTTAGATGTGTCGCTGGGTAGTTCTCAGCTGTGGGGACTCCTGAAGCGGTCAATCCTCAGAGCCGAGAACGTGTTTGGGGTTCTTTATTCCTGTCTTGTGTGCCTTACAGCAGAGGGTGCTGTAGTCTCATGTTATCTCTTAATGGACGATCGCTTTTATCTCAAGTGGCTAGAATCTGCTCACTCAGCAAATAAATTGCAAAGTTTGAACTTTTACATACCATGACTTGCCATTAGTAGGAAGTACATATTCTGTGATGTGTCTTTATTTGGGTATTTTTTCCAAGCAAATGTATCTGGTTCAGTGGATTTCTTGACTCCTTTCCAGTGGACCACCTGGCCTCCTCTGAAGATGAGGATGATGATGAATCCTCCTCAGAAGAGAACAAGCTTCTCAGTACTCAGAAGCTTCCACGTAAGAATTTCTGCTCTGCTTTGCATGTTTTAGTCTCTGCGCTCCCTCTTACCTCATTTCTTATTTCCCCTTGAGTTACTGCATTGACTTAATTGCAGAGTATGATACTGATTAAGACATCTACATAACTTTCAACCATGACAAGTCAAATAAAAAGTAGATTCATTGTCTTGTTGTGGATGAGTGCAGAATTGCCGTTTGTGCCACTTCCTCGCTAGAACATGGCAGGAGCGCCTTGGAAACTCAAAGCTGTGTCTTTTTAGCTATGGCTCCACAGTGGGCCCAGCCAGAGAGGATGGAGAAGAAGCTGCAGGTGGTTCCTGCCAGCAAAACGGTCAGGTTCCGATGTCAGGCAAGCGGCAACCCCAACCCCATGCTCAAGTGGTTCAAGAATGGCAAGGAGTTTAAGAGGGACCAGCGCATTGGTGGTTTCAAGGTGGGCTTCCCTGTCTGACCCCGTCACTGAATCAGTTATTGCTTTCTTCATTGCCCTTGACGTTTGTGTCATAAAGGTTCATCTTTTGGTCTCTCTGTCTCACACATATACAGTACAGTACTGCAAAAGTCTTAGGCAGTCCAAAGAAATGTTTGAAGCTGTTTATCTGGGTAGCAAGTGTACTTTGGCTTAGAACAAAAAAACACAATTTAACATTAGAACATGTGCAAATTCAGAGTAACACGATAAAAACTTGTAATAATTTCTTCTGTTTTCTAAAAAGTTACTGATATCTAGTTGGATGGCTAGATGAACGCGGCTTCAGTTCCCAAACCTCTCCTCAGGGGCACCTCAGCCGTTCCATGATTTTGTTAAATTTCACCAACAGCTCAATTAGATAATTAAATGAATTTGTTTAAAAAGTCAGTGACAGATTGACTAGCTGTATGAGGTATGCTAGTGGCCAAGTCAAAGAATACATGGCTGCACTGGACGGTTGCTGCAAATACTAGGATGATTTTAGCAGAGGCTCTGAAATGGCTAAGCTGACACACTTTGACAGGCATAATATCATAGTTTTACACCAACACGAGGATAATCTGAACATCGTTTTCTTTGCCTGCCTAAGACTTTTGCACAGTACTGTATGTGTGTGTGTGTGTGTGTGTGTGTGTGTGTGTGTGTGTGTGTGATTACAAACTCAAAAGTTTGTAATCTATATATTCAGCGTATCCTTAGGTTTATTAAATTCAGTTAGCAGAGCACACCGCATACTGCTGTTTTGCTGAATCATGGAAGGGATTTATAAGCGCTGCTGGTGGCGGTGAAGAAAGGGACAGCTCAGCAGCCACAACGTCTTTTGAAAGGGGAGATATTGTGGATAAACAAGGTCAAATAAACGTTTAAAGTCCGACACATTAATTAAACATACGGATACGCCAAATTTATACTTAATTATTTTGGGAAATGTGAGGATTACAGTTTGAACTTGTCCCAAATTTTGCACAGTCACCCTGTATTGAAAAAATAAAATGTTTTTTTAACCAATATGGGACACAATTTATCTAGTGTTTTCGAATTGCGTGATGAACCCCCCCTTCGTTCCTCCCAGTAAAGGCCGATTCATACTTCACTTTTCAGTGTGAGCTTACGGTCTTGCGCAGTGAGGTGACGTAAATTTCACCATCAGGGATTTGCAGCAGACGGCTGCAGGCGTGTAGCCCACATTTTTTTGTCCAGTGGAGATCATGTCTGGAATGTTGACTGCATGTACAAGATAATTAGGTGGTAATGACTTTCACAGAGCAAAGGTCAATAAAGAAAGAGTAGAGGAAGAATAGTTGTTATAGTAGTTGTGGTGAGTAGCAGTATGCGGAGGTGTAGAGGTACCCACATATCTACCCACATAGACTTGGGGTGTTACCCTGATGTCCTGACTAAAATTAGCCCATGTGACCCTTATAAATCTAGCCTCCTAATCATCCCCTATATCTAACTGGTGAATTATCTTCTGCCCCTTCACCACTTTAGCTACTGTGTGGTGAGCATACTGGTGCAGAATGGCTGCTGTTGCATCACCCAGGTGGGGGTGACAGTGGTAGTGGATGAACTGGCTCCCTACTGGTTCTGTAAAGTGCTTTGGGTGTCTTGAAAAGCGCTTTATAAATGTAACATTCATTCCTTCATGTGGTGGTTTCTGTGCTGCTCTTCTGTTCTGTACAGTGGACGGGGAAAGGCTACAGGCCCAGTGGCCTCATCCATCAAACGGTGTAAATGTATATGAACAAAAAAAATGTTTATGCACAAAAAAAATTGATTTATCAAACTTGCCTTATGCACAAATGTCTGCAATTTCCTGGCTCACTGGTTTTGGAAAAAAAAATGCGCCTGTATGTAGAATCTCAGCTGCACGTGTGTCTGTTCCTTACTCCTTAACTGCCTGTCAAACTCAGCAATGCCTGCACATGCATTTTCGAGCATGCATGCACTGCATTACATTTTCTGGCACTGTCTGATCTGTTCATCCTGCCATTTTTTTGTAAACCATATATTTATGTAAAACATTGTTGCCTAAATATCCCATATGTTCGTCAGTTGAAATTGCTACTCTCCAGCAACATAGTATGTGGGTATACTTCACTCTGAACCGAAATATGAAGTTTAGTATATTTTTGCATTTGTTGCAGCCTCACTTATATCACTCCAAATCAGTGGGATAAGAAAGAAAAGTATACCATGATACCATAATATTTCCTGAGACGATTATCATGCCTTGAAAATCTCATACCGTTGCAACCCTAATCACTGCTGCAGTACATTCTGTCAGCTCTATAAAACGCACTAAACCTGAAACAGAAAAGAAATGGTTGGATCTGAAGGGAAAGAAACAACTTGTGCAGAGGGCCAGTGTGACTGTATCTGTCTGGCAAAATCACATCCGCCCTCAAACTTCTGCATTTATAATGAAGGATGCCCTGCCTTCCGGAATTGTGTCAGTGCAGTAGGGAGATACTGATGTGGTACAAGAGACTCAGAATCATCAGATAACGAGTTGACTCAGACCATCAACCTGCTATTTGTCAGTGTCATGTTGAAATCACCGCTGACTTGAGCATTACTAGAATGTAACAGCTTTTGATTGATTAATGCAGCCTCATTAGCATTCATTTCACTGCCTGTATGCGTTTAATAAATACACTTCAGTTTAATGTGAGGTGTTCTTACCGCATTGCAAGTGTAGTAAATTGCAGTATAAAAAAAAAAAACAGACATCACTGCAAATTTAGATTCTACTTTTGGCTGTTTACCCACAATGTAGGGAAATGCGATGTAGCACCTGGCCAGTTCTGTTATGCGTCCAACACGGAAGGCAGGAAGAAGCTGAAGGTCGGATAAGATATCCCAGATCTCTATGCCAGTTCCCACTGGTAGGTGCTTGTTGCCAGAAGGCAAACCAGTATGCGTACAGGTGTAGTGCGAATGGTTGGTCTCTCTAATGCTGGACCCCATCAGCACATAAGTGTAAAAGAATGGAGCTCTGAATTGGCTCATAAGCCAGTTATTATCATGGGCCAAATGAGATAAACCTCACTGTTCTCAAGAGTAAATTGTTGTGCAAACAGCTGCAAAATGAGACACATATTTAATGTAAAACAAAGTGCAAAGACATTACAGAGAGTGCAAACAGTAAACAAATGGTAAAAATAATCTAGGTAGTCCATGAAAACTCATTCCCTTCTAATCCCTCCGTTTTACTAGGAAGAATGGCATTATGCCATGCCACATACGATTGACGTTTTTAAAAAATTTAGTTAATGTACGTAAAAATGAATTTTGCATGGCCATATGCAGCAGTGTTAAGCTACGTAGTATGTGCTGTGTGCCGTATGATAGCTGCTGCGGTAACGTACTGCACTGAATGGCAGAGTGACCATCCCAGCCTCACACGCATCTCCCAGCCTCATTCTCAGACCTAAAAGTCCTGTTCCTCCATACAACCATTTTGATGTATGACCTGTCTGTCAGAACAGAACCCCGCCGTAAGTCGGGGACAGACTCTGTATGAATCCATGCACGAGGATGTTTGAGGCCTAATTCACACTTAGTGCAACCAGTGACAATTGCAGATGTTTACAATTAATGAAAAGGGAAAATTAAATTCTTCAGAAATTAAATTCTCCAAGGCAAATATGTAATCTTTGGCACACATAAATAAATGGAAATTCAATAAATCCCGGTTAACATTGTTAGATTTAGATTACATGCTAATGGTCATGGTTAGCTGGATTGCCTCCAGGTTTTGCAACATTTTCAACTGCACCACACTAATATGAATGAAGTATTCAAATTAAGTTGAATACAGTAAAATCCACTTATAACGGACTTCAAGGGACCTGGCAAAACAGTCCGTTATATCCGGAATTGCTGTTTGCCCAGAACACAACTACAGGACACCATTTACTCATGCCACACCTCAGCAGACACACTTGTGTTATAGATTATTATATTGTACATGTAGTAATCCAACTTCACCTGACCAGATGCGTGACTATTAATAATCCCGACTACGTACGTATCTGCGCTGGATATCACCGGCTCGCCACACGCCTTGTAGGCGGAGCCTGCATGTCCGTTATAGCCGAACAAAACTACAGCTAAAAGTGACCCTGCATGGGGACCAAATTGTTTGTCCGTTATAAGTGAAATTCCGTTATATGCGAGTCCGCTATATCCGATGCTTTTTCTGCATGTTCTTAAAGGCGCACGGCCAGGACCAGCGGACCTCGTCCATTATAGATGATATTCCATTATAAGCGAGTCCACTATAATGGGATTTTACTGTATACAAAATATAGCATTCACTCCAGATCCAGATCAGATCTTAAAACTAGGTCATGATAGAGTACCATGGTTAACAGGATCTAATAAATGCTTTAAGAAATACTTTTCAAAAGGTGCTCAGTGATTACTTGTTCTAAACTTATTGATAGGCATAAATAAAATTTTAGTGTAACCTACCTGACAGCGTTATAATAGTTTAATCCATACTTCTTCAGTTTGTCCTTTTCCTGCCACAGGAATGATATGAAAATTTTATTAGGCACAGTCATTGGTTAAACACCTATAAATTTAGTTCATCTTTACGCTTTCAACTTGTATATATTATGACGCTAACAAGACCGTGGTGATTTAATAACTTATAGATTTATCATTGTTTAATTGCCCTAAATTCTTATTCAATGGTGTAGCAACTTTTTTCCCTGCATTTTTCCCTGCATCATACATAATGACATCAGACGCTTTAAAGGCAAAACTCGAGAATTTTATGTGAAATTGACTTTTAATACTAGGTTATTAGATAACTTAATCCAGTAGTAAGTTGCACTCCATCAAAAATGTTCAGTTTACAAAACTCAAAACTATTGCTAGTTACAATAACTGTACAATTTTAGGATAACTTTTTCAGTTTCAAATTTACTTAATAAAATAAAGTTATTCTGACTTAGGGGTTTTGGAGACTGAGCTGTGTGGGTCTTGCTGGGCCTTTAAGAGGCGGAGTGCTTTTTATGTCTCTCTGGTCCTTGCTGTAATGTGGTCAGCTTCTGCATGGTGGGGAAGCCTTGGAATATTCACACAGCCCACTGCTGCTTTTGGGATGCTGAAGGAGCAGCCTGCCGCAGGGTCTCTGACACAGCATGTCACCGCCCTGTTTTATGACTACTGGCACGGCCATATTGCTGCCAGTGCTCCCCGTTTGTTTTGTCTGCTCCATTTAAAAATGTCTAAATGGCTGCATGAAACAATGTGATGCAGCCCTTTATGGTCATCACTGGTAAAACCCCCGCCCTGTATATCAGACTCTGTCATTTGGAAAATTGTAGGATGCACCTATTCTTAGTTAAGATATTCTTGACCTTGGCAGTGCATTGCATCATTGTGTGTCTTCCATTTAACTTAAAAGCTTGATATTTCCTGTGGTAACGGTCTTGGCTATGGGGTGGCCTGCAGTGGTGATGGCAGGACGTCTTTGGAGAGGCTGGGAATACAGAGAAAGACCTTCCCATTGGGGTCATTGCTAATGGCCTCCAGCCACCAGCAGCTTCTGTCATTCCAGCTTGGCAGTTTTCTTAACATTGTTTTGTTGTTGAAATTATAGGTTTGATATAATGTGAAATGTAGAATGATTGAAACGATGAAAAATAATACTTCTAGTACTATGTGTATGGATGAATACTTGGTAACCCTAATTATGGGACCACTTCATGACTACATGACACCAACATAAACCCTTTATGACAGCTGACATCTTGTCAAAAGCATTTACAAAGGTTTATTCCAACTTTTGTACCTGTCATAAATGCTGGCATTGGCAACTCCTGTGTCAAGTTGACTTATCACTTGTGTAGACTGTCATAGGTTTGAGCTGACATAAACTTGTGTTATGACAGTTTTTCCATTCAATTGACAGAAGAGGTTAAGGCTAACTCTAGACTTCTGTGTGTCAGAGTGACATAAAGTGACAATTTGTCATGTAAAGCCAGCTGTAAAACGGAAGGTGAATACTTTTTAAAGGAGGATTACATATGGCCAGAATGAACAGCAGTGTAGCCTCACACCTCCACAGGCTGGGGTTTTGTATCCTGTCTCTGGTTCTGTGCGTGCAGAGTTTCGATGTTTTTCCTGTATCTGTGGTAGTGTGTATCCTGTCTCTGGTTCTGTGCATGCAGAGCTTACATGTTTTTCCTGTATCTGTGGTAGTGTGTATCCCGTCTCTGGTTCTGTGCATGCAGAGCTTAGATGTTTTTCCTGTATCTGTGGTAGTGTGTATCCCGTCTCTGGTTCTGTGCA